GAACTAGAGAGGGGACTCGAGAGGGGACTAGAGGAGAGAGAAGGTAACTCGAGAGGGGACTCGATAGGGGAACTAGGGAGGGGACTCGAGGAGGGACTAGAGAGGGGACTAGAGGAGGGACTAGAGGAGGGAACTGGAGAGGGAACTGGAGAGGGAACTGGAGAGGGAACTCGAGAGGGGACTTGAGAGGGGACTCGAGAGGGGACTCGAGAGGGGACTTGAGATGGGACTGTGGCAGCTGGGGCCAGAGCTGGGTCTGGAACCATGGCTGCGGGGGCCGGAATTGAAGCCAGAATCATGGCTGTAAGGTCCGGTTCTGGAGCCGGAAACATGGCTTTAAGGTCCGGTTCTGGAGCCGGAAACATGGCTGTAAGGTCCGGTTCTGGAGCCGGAAACATGGCTGTATGGGCCGGCTCTGGAGCCGGATCCATGGCTGCTGGGGCCAGAACTGGGTCTGGAACCATGGCTGTGTGGGCCGGTTCTGTAGCCGGAACCATGGCTGCTCGGGCTGCTAGCCTGGCCTTGCGACGACTCCTCTTAGCAGCCGCCTGAATACTCCGTGGACCTCCATAAGCCAGACGAGTTCCGGAATACAACTCCTGGACAGGAGCAGGAACTGGGGCAGAAGCACTGGTTGACTTCAGGCGGAACCCACCAAGGCGTATGGTGCTAGGTTGGGAATTGGGAGACATGGAGTTAGCATGCCTGGGGCTAGCAGGCCGGGAATCACATGTTTCAAGGAAGTCCAAAATCCAGTCAGGTAAGAACTCCACAACACATAGTTTCTCTGCTGCCAACCGGTGCGCCTCTACCAGAGGCTGGACGCTCCCTTCCACCAATCGAAGCAGCAAGCCAGATAGAAGGTAAAATGCTGTAATTCTACCTCCCATGGATCATCTGCTGGGTCGGTTCGTAATGTTACGATGTGTGAAGCAGGTAGGACCCAAATGCAGATTAACGTGAAAATTCATTTATTTCAAGGCTATACTAACAAAGACAGAACAGAACACTCACCGAGGACAAGCCAAATCACAAGACGAACCGACACTGAACACAGGAAGAGACAAGACTAAATACAGGGAGGGGTAATCACAAGACGAGACACAGCCGGGCAGGGGAGGAGAAACACAAGGGCCACAAGTGAAAACAATCAGACAACTAGACACACCAGGGAAACTAACGACGGGAGGAAAAACACAGGGAAAAGGACCAGACAATATACCCAGAGGAAAACATGACAGGGAGAACAGCAAAACACCCAAACCAAGACATAGAAAACGTGACATAACACAATAATCGTAACACATTACTGATCTCTCCATCACACTTTACATCTCAATATCATCAGTTTTCACTCTTTTTGTAAGAGTTTTCCACCCCAAAAACTTTAAAACCTTGCAAAGGAAACAGCTACATGACAGATAGGTGTCCATTTGTTATTGACTTCTGGAGTAATGAAAAGCTCTAAACTCAATAGGTACAGCCACAACAGAGCACTGGCATGAATGGTGCTTTGTTGGAGGAAAAATACGGGTAGGACTCAATAATACACTGCAAACAGTCCAATACAAAATGTGTTAAGAGCATATTGTCCACAACAGCTTTACAATAGCAGTAATAATACAAACTGACAAAGCACAGAAACAGTGGGAACCAGAGTGTTGTGCGTAGACGGCTCTGCTAAGATTGTTCCCTAGTTTAGGTTTCATGTTATGTGTTTAGATAGGTTCCTGTTTTATTTTTGATAGTCTTGTCTACCCTCATGTGTCTAAAGTACGTTTCCTGCCTTGTCTGTTTTCCCGCTGTTGTGATTGCCTAATTGTCTTCACCTGGTGTTGTCTGTCTGTCTAGTATATATAGTTCTCGTCTTCCCCTGTCTCGTTGCCAGATTGTCTTGTGTGTTCCAAGCCTTCCAGCGTAAGATCATTTTGTCATTGTCCATAGAGTTATCGTCCATAGAGTTAGATTAGTGTATTAGTAGTTTTTGTAGTTTTTTGATAGTATAGGTTAGACAGTTTATTGAGTGTTTGTTTTGTTGCTTTATGTATTCAGTGTGTTATGACCTGTCTACATTAAAATACTTTATTTTGATACTTTGTTTGTCTCTGCATCGTGCATTTGATTCCACGCCCTTGTACAGCCCTAACACAGAGCAAATATAGCTCATAGTAAGAAAGAAAAAGAGAGTCGTACAGGAGCGGTTGGACATCATTGCGTCTGCAGGTCTCACAATATCTGCTGTCCAGCTACAAATTGTGTATGAATAAACTTACTTACTTGCTCCTATTTGCATCAATTAGTTTGAAGGTGCTTTCAAACTAATTGATGCAAATAAACTCAAACCGGCTTGTGCGGATGTGAGACAGTATCATAAATGCAATTTCTACATTTTAATTTGACATATTATGATGGTATTGAGTTTCTGACTTTATTTTCAGGGTGATGTTAATGTTTTTCAAATGCAGATAATGACCTGAAAATAGTTGTTGCCAAAATGTTAGCATTGTCTAATGGTCAGACCTCTTGCTTGTGTGTGTCCAGTTCCAGTTGCCATTTCCATTGTATGACTCAGCATTTTTTACCCACAACCCTAACTCAATGAGAACTCCTTTTTTTCAAAAGCAGACACACAATGTCTGACATCTGTCGACACCTATTGTACAAAGAAAAAAACAGTGATTCATGGAATAAAACTCTGACCTACGCACCACAGAGCAGCTTCCCTTGTCCTTTTGTGCCATACAAATGAAATACTCAATACAAAAAGTGTATCATGGTTCACGCATTATTGTGTAGTATTGTGATTACTGATCTGCCCTGTGGGGCTATAATCAGAACATTTTTATTGAAATCAAGGAAATGTTATTTACTAAGCGGAAGAATACAAATGACACATTCGTCTCTTTACAATTTGTACAGCACACACCCTCAGTGCTTAGATTATTGTAGCGCATATGAAAAAACCTCCACAAAATACACCAAAAGTGGCAAAAATGGCAGAACTTCAGAGAGAGCAACAGCTCCAAGGTCGGGCTGACAGGCAATATATGTTGCGTGTTCTGAATTAAAAAAAAATTGAAACAACAACTGATAATGACAAAATTGATGAGAATTGGGAAGCTGTATGACCAATAATATAACTTTTAGGTTTTAAAAAGGATCAAAACCTTACCATGGATTCAAATCAGTTACTTGAGACCAGTATCTATTATTGTCAGGAATAATTATATTTCTCTGTCGTGTAGAAGTTTAGTTTACAATTACATAACTATTGGTTGCGTTGCTTATTTCGTAGTGGGAGGGGACATTTTCAGGCAGGGATACTGGGTGCCCAACCTTTTTTGAACCGAGAGCCACTTTCAAAGTTGCCAGTCTGGCGAGATCTACCAGTCCAAATAGAGAGGCGTAGCCATTACTGACAGCCTACTACCAGGTAAATACACACTTCTACTTGTATAAAACTGACCTTTGTACGATTAATACTTCATAAAATACTGCAGATCCTTTATCTTACCTTTTTCTAATCTACACACATACAAGTATTTAACTGAAGTTACACAACAGTGTTGTTGATACAGAGTTGGAGTTTATTCACACGTCACATACAGTGGGTAATGTTTTCAAGAAACATTGAACAGTGCTGCCACATATGACACAGAAAAAAAAGAAAAGACTCTGAACCCTTTCTTTGCCATTCAAATTAGGCTTACTAATAAGACAACTCAGATCTGAAGCAATCTGCTGCCAAAGTGCAATAAAAAAGACAAAATTAATAGAATCAAACCCTTTTTTTGTTGCATTTTAGTAGATTATAAAAAGAAATGCCTTTAAAATAGGATGCAAGCAACACTAGTTTCTTAACCTGAATTGATAATAGACTATACTCAATTTAAACAGAACAGATCTTAATGTTTGCATTTTTATACCATTTTGTACAATAATTATAATGAATAAGTTCAAACAAACTAAAACTTACAGCTGATTAATAACGGTATCTAACTTTATTTTTGTATTATATCAAAAACCTGTTGAAATGCTACTGTTATTTTTACTGTCCCCCAAAAGTGCGTCGGCAGCCTCCAGGAATGCTTCTTTCACAACTTCGCCGTCTTTGAAAGACTTCATGTGTTTCGCAAGAACGTGACTGACACGATAAGATGCTATGGTAGCAGCCTTGCTCTTGTTGTTGGGCCTGGTGAAAATGGACTGCTGTGCATTTAGCTGTCCTTTCAGGCCCCTCCCCTTTTGGGAGCGTAGGGCAGAATTAGGAGAGAATTCCGTCTCGTAGCGTTTGTGCACTGTTTTGAAATGCCGTTCCTAAATTACCCTTCTTCGGTAAAGCCACACTCGCATTACAGATGAGACAGATGGACTTTGAATTGGAATAGATACAAAAATAATCATCCTCCCACTGAAATAGGGAAAATTATATATTTTGGGCTTTTTTGCTTCTGCCATAATTGCGGTCTTGTGTGTCAAGACTATCACTCCCGTTGACACGGACAACGTCAGCGAACTAGTGCACTGCTCACTGCCCACCAGCCACGCCCCGACACATGGGGTCACGCCGGCCAATCACAAAGCTTTGATGCATTATTCTGGCACAGGAAGATTATGTTACAGGACATTAACGATAAAACAGAACATTGTTGTTCTATTTTTAGACACATCTCGCGATCGACTGGGAATTTCCCCGCGATCGACCGGTCGATCGCGGGGAGATTCCCAGTCGATCGACTGGTTGGGCGCCCCAATAGCTTTCCATTTATAGATGTTTCTCTACAATAGGTTAGGCTTTACAAATCTTAAATGTGCTCCACCTGTAACCAAAACACTTCGAACATCAATGTACTGCACACACAGTTAGACAATGTCAACAAAAGCTTAGCAACACAAACATGTATACACCCATGATCTATCGGTATGCAGTATTGCACAAACACACTGGTGAAACTGGTTTGTTGGGAGAACATACATTAGTGTACAAGTGTTTTTGCCTAGTCATTCATGGTGTGTACACCGTTATAAAAGTAGGCTTTCCCCTCAGTCCAACATATGTCTCATCTGGGACCAAGTTAGTGACACGGACGTGAACTCTCTCTACCTGGGAACCTCAACTCTAAGGTGAGTCCTGTTGGAAAGCAACATATTAGTGAGTATGTTTTGTAAAAGCAAATACATTAAGTGTCATCTGTTTCGATATTGAATTGTCTTTTTGTACAGATACATACGGAAGAGGATTAGGGCCACATACAATTTTTTTTGTGAAGATTTGAAGAAAACATTTTTTTTTTTTTGTTTAGAGAAAAAGGTCAGAATTCTGAGATTAAAGTCAGAATTCTAAGATTAAAGACAGAATTCTGACTTTTTTCTCAGAATTCTGACTTTTTTCTCAGAATTCTGACTTTAAAGTCAGAATTTTTTTTCTCCCAAAAAAAAAATATTTTTTTTGTTTAGAGAAAAAGGTCAGAATTCTGAGATTAAAGACAGAATTCTGACTTTTTTCTCAGAACAAAAAAAAACATTTTTTTTTCAAATCCTCACAAAAAAAAAATGTATGTTGCCCTAATCCTCTTCCGTAGATACAGCCATGTCTCGTCTGCAAGAAATCATTAAAAACATGGTGGAGTTGTACGTGGAGTACTCTGATGCTGATGGCAATTTGAGCAAGGAGGAGCTGATGACAATGGTGGATAAAGAAATTGAATGCGCTGAGATGAAAGTAAGAACCTCAACATACTCACACATGATGACAAATTCTTCTTCTTTATTAGTCAGGTGTGTTTCATGATTTTAACAGTAATATCATTTTTTTTTCATGACAAAATCAAAGCTAAAAGATTTGAGAAGCAGGCAGGTTGCATGGCACGTGATGGAGAGATCCATTTCAGAGAGTTTTCTCGTTGTGTGATTTCTCTTGCCAACAACTGCTACCACAAGAAGACAGGCAAGGGCAAAGACTGCGGGGACTGCTCCGATGAATGAATGTAAAACCTTTGAAGAGTTATCATTATAACGTGTGTATATGTAACACTAACTGCACTGAAAATGAAACTTTCACTGTCTCACTGTCAATTGGTTTTCGTAGGCTGTTCAATACTGGTCAAGAATGAATACAAATAATTGAGTTTAAATCAACGTGAGCGTCTTCATCTGTTCGGTTGTATGGCTATCACTTGCATAGTTGTGTTCAACGTTATTGCTGTGGATGAAAATGTGCATAGACTGCATATCTCCAAATTTGACAGATTTCTTAAGATGTAGGTCTCCACAACTCTCAGTCTACCTGTAACTTGTGTTAGGAGTCATCTTTTTGTATGAAACCATTTATCTTTACCTATTTGCAAAAATGTGTTTGAAAGCTCTGCGTTTATGAATCCATCAGTCAGTTCCATCTGAATAAACAGAATGTACTTGAGCTGAAATAGGTCCAAGTATCATGTCTGTAATTCAAAACCAAAGACAACTTCTTGCTGTGCTTTTCAATCAGAAACAATCTATTTTCAAACAGGAATCCTCAACCGCCAAATGCACACAGGAGTAGTTGCTGAATGTAAATTATAAACAAAACACAGAAGGCATTTGATGTAAAACTCTAAGGGGCTTGTACAAAATATTCAGAGTTTACTATTATGGCACAGAAATCCTATATTACAGTTTTTCTCGATTGCTAACACTATTTTTTTAAAAATTGCTCAGTTTCTCAGAACACTAAACACAATTCACAAAACCACACACCCAAAGTGCAAAACACCTAATTTCTCCTGTTAAATGAAGAACTGCACTCAAAACTACATAAACACTTACCAAATGCAAACTTTAGCACCAAATATAACACACTTCATTGATAACACTAGATGGTTTGACCACCCAACTACACACTGCTGAGCGTAATCTAAAGCACTTCCATCTGTTATGGGCTGTGCTCTGTACATAGAGGGTTCTGCAGAGAAAGATTGCTTGAGTTTACAGAAATACAGTAAATGAAGAAATACAAATGAGTTGTTGAAAGAAATCACATTTTATTCAAAAATAACATTGTGCAACATGCATCTCAGCACATAGTTAGAATGCTTTGGATCTCTCTAAGTGTGATGGCATTGTTTGCCAAAACCCAGTTTTTAACTGCTGCTGCCTGTGCCTCATTGAACATCCTTGGCTTTCCACCTGCACCTCTTTGTTTCTCAGTCCTTCAGATAAACAACAAAGACATAGTGGTCGGTCAGTGTCTGTGTTGCATAAAAGTGAGTTACCACAGTACATTGTGCAGGATTGTTGTACAGTTATAGTATGCAACATGCCAACAATTCAATTACAGTAATGAAGTAAATACGTTTCACACAACAGATATAAGCACTGATATATCATGAGAGTATTCTTCTTTGTCCACGTCCTCTCCCTCCAGCTCTACCTCTACCTCTCATTCTTCCTCCTCTCACTCTCACCCCACCTCTTCCTCCTCCTTTCACTCTGAGCCCAGCCCTTCCTCTTCCTCTTCCTCTTGCTCTTCCTCTTGCTTCCATGTTGGCTTCCATTGTTGCTGTAAGAAAGTACTCACCTGTGGTCTTTTTATAGTGCTAACATCCAGATTGATGAGCCAACAATTATGCTACCAGGTGTTTGGTCAGGTGGAACGTGTTACTTGATCATTGGTCCATGTGTGAGGCCTTTTGAATATCAGTGTTTTAAACCTGCTCACACGTGACTTTATGTCAGATTCCTGTGTCTTACGTGGAGAAACGTGTGCAGTGGTTTGCAAAAAGTGCCATGTTGATTTGCAAATTGTGTGAAAAGCTGAAAACGTGTTTAGAGTTTTGGAGATTTGAGCCGATGTTTTGTTCTTTGAGTGTCAGTTAAAATAATTGTGCTTTATGTATAATTTTAGGTGTTAGCAATCGAGAAAAACTGTAACCATAGAATAATCAATACACTTGTTCATAGAGTCTTTTCGCAGGTGACCACTTATTCCATCAAACAGCAGGAATGCGTCCATATCACTGTTTTGATTACATCAAATGCTACATTTTCATGAAATCACTATGAATTGTATCCACTCCCACCCCATCATTCACTCCCACTTGAGTCAGGGTGCGGCAGGCCATACCAGTAGGGGAAATTATTATTAAGTAATATATTGAATGATACAGTGTTTACAGTTTTTCTCGATTGCTAACACACTAAAAGTATACATAAAGCACAATTATTTTAACTGACACTCAAAGAGCAAAACATCGGCTCAAATCTCCAAAACTCTAAACACGTTTTCAGCTTTTCACACAATTTGCAAATCAACATGGCACTTGTTGCAAACCACTGCACACGTTTCTCCACGTAAGACACAGGAATCTGACATAAAGTCACGTGTGAGCAGGTTTAAAACACTGATATTCAAAATGCCTCACACACGGACCAATAATCAAGAAACACGTTCCACCTGACCAAACACCTGAGAGCATAATTGTTGGCTCATCAATCAGGATGTTAGCACTATAAAAAGACCACAGGTGAGTACTTTCTTACAGCAACAATGGAAGCCAACATGGAAGCAAGAGGAAGAGGTAAATGAAGAGCTGGGCTGAGAGTGCGAGGAGGAGGAAGAGGTGGGTGAGAGTGAGAGGAGGAAGAATGAGAGGTAGAGGTGGAGGATGAGGCTAGCCCATCTTCTTCTCACTCTGGAAGTCAAGAAATGACTAAAAATGAGGCACATTTAGTACAGGCGTTGCAAGAAGCAATGGCTCTCACCCGACTTCCAGTCCCAGAACCCACTGTATTCTTTGGTGATCCATTGAAGTTCACTGAGTAGAGCGCAAGCTTTAAAGCTCTAATAGAGAGGCGATGCTCTAACCCTGCAGATAGGCTGTTCTACTTGCAAAAGTACGTAGCAGGGGGGCGAAATCTGCCCTTGAAGGTAGCTTCTACAGAAAAGATGAGGAGGCCTATGAACAAGCATGGGATAGGCTGAATGCCAGATATGGTCATTACTTTGTTGTGCAGCGAGCCTTCAGAGAGAAACTCAACGGATGGCCAAAGATTGGGGGAAAGGAATATCTCAAGTTTAGAGAATTTAGTGATTTCCTTCAAACATGCAGCAACGCTATGCCTCACGTTCTTAACGACTGTGAAGAAAATCAGAAGATGCTAACCAAACTTCATGATTGGTTCACATCAAGGTGGAACCGTTATGTCACAGAACAGCTGGATTTAGGCAAAGATTATCCAAGCTTCGCAGAGTTTGCCAGGTTCATATCAAAGGAGGCCCGTATAGCATGCAACCCAGTGTCATCACCATATGCTCTAAAACCCTCAGCAGAAATACCTGTAAGAGAAGCAAAAGGGCCAAAATCAAACACATTTGTCACCGACGTGGGGGATTCAGAAACACCTTGCATTGTAGCTGAAACCAATGTAGAAGAAACCAAGTCAGAAGATGCAGAGGAAGTAAAGAAAAGGAGCATGCTAACACAAAACACAACTGAGTGTTTTTGCTGTGGAGAAAATCATTCCATGTTCAAATGCCAAAAGCTACTGGAATTGACTGTGGAGGAAAAGAGAAAATGCATACAAGAAAATAGGCTGTGTTTTGCATGCCTGAGAAAGGGACATGTCTCCAGAGACTGCAAGAACAGAGCCATGTGTGGCATATGCAAGAGGGGTCATCCGACTCCTTTGCATGAAGAGCGTTCCTCAGCGGACAAACCCTACACACACAGCAGGTTTGAAGGAAATACATCCTCACTATCATGTTGTGTGAATGGAGGTGAAGGTGGGAGCACATCAATGATCGTGCCAGTGTGGATTTCATCATCAAATACTCCTAATTCTGAAACTCTGGTGTATGCTCTATTGGACACCCAAAGCAGTCACACCTTTGTAGAACAGGAGGTTTGTGAGAAGCTGCAAACAGAGATGGAGCCGGTAAAACTAAAATGATCGACTATGATGGGAAAAGACTCAATTGTAAAGAGTCAGAGAGTTTGTGGACTCAAAGTCAGAGGGTTCACCTCAAATACATCCATTGATCTGCCTCCAGCTTATACAAGGGATTCCATTCCACTTGAACGTGCGCACATTCCAACCTGCAAGACAGCCATCAAATGGAAACACCTTGCAGATATAGCTCAAGAGATGCCTCCACTTATAGATTGCGGTGTTGGATTACTGATTGGCTATGACTGCTCCAGAGCACTGGCCCCAAGGAAAATCATCACTGGTGGCGATTACGAGCCCTATGCCATTAAGACTGACCTTGGATGGAGCATCGTAGGAAGTGCATCGCAGCGTGTTCATTCTCAAGATGTGACTGGACTTTGTCATCGGGTATCGGTCAGGGAGGTGCCACCTGTAACGTCATCAGCGGTTATCAAGGTGCTGGAGTTCAATTTCGCGGACACCAGGCCAGGGAAAAAAGGCATATCTCAAGGTGATATTCACTCTCTGCAGATCTTAAAGGAAGGAATCCAGCAAAACGAGCTGGGTCATCTAGAAATGCCTCTTACATTCAAAGCACGAGCTCTTCTCCCAGACAACAAAAGGCTGGCTTTGATTCGACCAAAGCACCTTAAAAGGGAACTGGAAAGAGATCCTAAATTCAAGGCTGTGTGAAGTTTATGGATGAGAAAGCAGAGAAAGCAGAAACACAACCAGAACCAGGACCGGATCTCGCAAATGGCCTTCTAGCTCCATTCATCCTTGAAGGAAAGAGGGTTCTGCGAGAGATGTGTGGAATCGGATCGGATGATCCACTGCCAAGCGCGGTGAAGCTAAGGTGGGAGAGTTAGATGAATGATCTGGAAAATCTTGAGAAGATTCAGATCCCAAGATGCTTCACAAACTTTGGTGAGCTACTGAGTGTCGACTTCATCACTTTTCTGATGCAGCAGTTGGGGGAAAAGGGTGAACGCCTCAACAAGCCATCCGTTGTTGAAAGACCTATTCAGAAGTTAGTTGTTCTAATGGAGAGCAGTTAGGAAGCAAGCAGTTGCTAGAAACTTATATATTTCCTTGTTAGGCTAAGGGGCTAATAAAGTTGATGTTGCCTTAGTTAAGTAAATGAAAATTGATTGCTCAAATATGTAAATGATATTGTGAACTTGCACT